CATTTGGAATTCTTCTCCGATGTCCAAAAACCAAATGAACCATCCACATTTAGACAATTTGCTTTTGTTTTGCTCTGTTAGTCAGCTGGTGTCAAACTGTAGTCCAGGAGTTGGTGTTATGAAAAGGAAATGGTAACCCATATGACAAATAAGATTGCTTATTTTGTTAATTAACAAACAGGGAAGGTTGTGTGGTAAGACAGTGTCCTGCAGGCTGTGTTCTCACTGTCTTTGCTAGGTGCATTTCAAAATCCTTCACGGTATATTACTAAAATAATTACGCTGTGGAACTCGGCAGTTATATCACTGCTGAAAAGTAAGGGAAAGGATTTGTGGTAGGGAGACTTGGCAAAGCATTAATTAGCAGTTTTCTCTCGTCCAGGTTAATGCTTTCAGTGGAAGGGCCTTAAAGAAGCATCCTTATTCTACAGAAGTGAAAATTGAAGAACAATTTAAAAATCCAGTCAGGTCGTTGGGTAATCCTGGGTAAACCAAGGCCAAAAATAAAAATTAGGAATTACTTCTTTAAGATATGCACTGTGATATGTGGCAGCTTTCAGACTGCTGTGACAGTCTGATCCATAAGTATTCCTAACTCACTACACCTTTCTGAACTTGGTCATCTTTTTTGTTACAAGCAAAATAGTAAGCTCCCTGAGATCTCACTCTGGGATCTAATTCTACTATTAGCTAATAGAAAAACGTATGTAAGGCTTGTTTAAATAAAGTTTCATTTGTAAATATTTAACAAATATGTTCATTTGCCTATTTCTACGTTGTTTTACTTAGTTGGCATATTTTTCAGCCTTTTAGAAGGCTCACTCCTTTCCCCTGCCATTTCTTGGTACAAAAAGGGAGATCAGATATTGTAAAGGATGAATGTAGTTCCTATTGAGTAAAGATAAGTTTAATGATATTGCAGAGTTCAATTACCAGAAAATGTGTGAAAGCCACCCTCAGTGTCGCTAGTAATCCTCTTAGTCAGGCTTTGCATACATCAAAGAGGGACTTAATATTTAATTATGCTCTAGGTGGTGTAAGTAGTGGTCCCACAAATCAATGTGCTGCTGGGAAACAGGCCAGCTCTTACAAAATTAAAAATGTTGTACTTTATGGAAGCAGCTACCTATCAAACAGGCAGAAACACAGCAATTTCCAGTTCTCTAATGATTAGTTAACAAAATTAAAAATTCAGAGGTCCTTATTTTTCAAAGGCTTGAGAGTGCTTAATTCACATTCCAGTAGCATCCCACAACTACTGAAGGGAGGAAGCACGTGTTGTTTTAATCCCCTTGATGAATTTTATCTGAGCTCTTCAGGTTTTGTAATTTTCTAGTTAACTGGTGCATGAAAAATATGGGTCAAAATACTGACGTTTTCTTTAAATAAAAAAAAAAAGAACATTTTGGGGAGGTAAGAAAAGATGTCCTTTAGAATGTTCGTGTCTTGGCTTCTGGCTTTGCCCATCGATGATTGGAAATCCATTTGTGCAGTATATGGAAGCAGTGTCTGTAATGACTGGCAATGTGACTAACAATTAAAATGTCTGCTTGCAGGTTATGCGTGTACGTGCTCATTCAGTTCGGTCAGAGACTGGTTACAAGGCACAAGTTTCAGTAACAAGAGTTAGAGAGTTTTGCCCCAGGAAGTTATAGGGCAATTAGCAAAGGCTCAGAAGGTAAAGCAAGTTTAATTTATGAAAAGAATTTCACAGTCGTGAAGCTTCTCTAGGCCACACCTTGTCATAAAAGGATTGCTTCATTATTATGCAAATGACAAATGTAATTATGGTTTGTATGCCACTTAAATGCAAATAGCCGTGTCATTTAGAGAAGGTAATCTCATTTAGCCTTCCCCTCATATTGTTAAATTATGTTTTTTTTCATCGTCTTGAGGGTATAGAATGCTGCTGAGTGTTGAGCATTTTTGAAAATTGGGAGGGATATCTAAAATGAATTGGGGACTGTAACTTTAAGCCCCATCATCTGCTTTGTTTAAAATTTAGCTTTGAAA